AGATGGGACACATACACAAGAGGTCACAATTGGAAGTTGAAGACTCAGATGAATCAAAGGGATGTTAGGAAGTATTTCTTCAGTCATAGAGTAGTCAAGTCGTGGAATAGTCTAGAAAGTGAAGTAGTGGAGGCGGGAACCATACATAGTTTTAAGGAGAGGTATGATAAAGCTCATGGGCAGGGAGAGAGAGGACCTAGTAGCAATCAGTGAAGAGGCGGGGCCAGGAGCTATGACTCGACCCCTGCAACCACAAATAGGTGAGTACACACCAATAACACACACACACACACACATAACACACACACACAATAACACACACAATAACACACACACAACCACACACACAATAACCACACACCACACACACACACACACACAAGCACACTCATACACACCAACATACACATAGGTATTAATGAATCGACGACTAAAACATTCAAATATAACAAATACGAAGTGTTATATTCTCAACAAATAATGTAATCAATTACATGTAATAGGAAAACACATCTATACAAGTACCGATGATTGGTATACAAGAATAAAAAGGCGAAACTCTTAACGTTCTGCCCATATAAATTTTTAACATTTATATTAATGTCATCATCACATTGGAGACATACAACATTGGAGACATACATACAACATTGGAGACATACAACATTGGAGACATACAACATTGGAGACATACAACACTGGAGACATACATACAACACTGGAGACATACATACAACATTGGAGACATACATACAACATTGGAGACATACATACAACATTGGAGGCATACATACAACATTGGAGACATACATACAACATTGGAGACATACATACAACATTTTGGGGACATACTACAACAATTTGGGGACATAATACAACATTTGGAGACATACATACAAAAATTGGAGACATACATTTCAACATTGGGACATACATACAACATTGGAGAAAATACATACAAAATTGGAGACATACATACAAAAATTGGAGACATACATACAACATTGGAGACATACATACAACATTGGAGACATACATACAACATTGGAGACATACATACAAAAATTTGGGGACATACATACAACATTGGAGACATACATACAACATTGGAGACATACATACAACATTGGAGACATACATACAAATTGGAGACATACATACAACATTGGAGACATACAACAACATTGGAGACATACATACAACATTGGAGACATACATACAACATTGGAGACATACATACAACATTGGAGACATACATACAACATTGGAGACATACATACAACATTGGAGACATACATACAACATTGGAGACATACATACAACATTGGAGACATACATACAACATTGGAGACATACATACAACATTGGAGACATACATACACATTGGAGACATACATACAACATTGGAGACATACATACAACATTGGAGACATACATACAACATTGGAGACATACATACAACATTGGAATACTGCAATACTGTCTTCTTCCCTGGCGATAAGTCTTGTGTCTCTGTAGCTGATTAAGCAGTTGTTTAACACAGGTGTTCCTTAAATTATTAATTTTGTCTGCGTACTGGTGTTCTGAAATACGTGTGTGGAGGTCTCTGGATGTCTCACCCACGTATAATTGGTTGCGGTCATTACAAGGGATTATGGATACTCCTGCAGAGGAGTGGAGCCTTTCCTGTCTATTACTGGTGATGTCCTTGATGGTGGTGGTGGATTAGGAGATAGATACTTGGAATGGGATATTGGAAAAATTAGAAATGTGTTTGTCAACAGAGATGATGGGCAGGACTTTATCTCTTCTCTGGGTGTGTTGAAGATGTTTAACCCCTTGACTGTCGCAACCCCCAATCCTGAGGTGTCTCCTTGTGTCGCAAAATTTAAAAAAAAAAAAATTATTTATTCTTATGAAATGATAGAGAATCTTTTCCCGATTGTAATGACACAAAAAAAAAAACGAAATTTGATGGAAAACTGACGGAATTATGCTCTCGCGAAGTTAGCGACCTCGGCGATTTTTTACAAATCGGCGATTTCGCCCACTTTGGCCCTATATTCGGCTAATTCCATTGTTCCAGTCGACCAAACTCATAGCTGTTTCTTTAGAACTCCATTTTTTCTATCGATTGAGTACAAGAAACTGCCCATTTACCAATTTCAACTACCTAATAATGTGGTCAGAAATTTGAAATTTGGCCAATTTCACGAAAATTAAAAAATATGACAATTTCAAAATAGGGTCCAGAATGAACAATGCAGACATTCCTGGCTCTAAAATAACATTTTCTTTGTTCATTAGTCATGTCTCCAGCCCCTCTGATATTACTCTTGCTTTCTATTTTGAATTTTTATTCAAACAAAAAATAGAAGATTTACTGTTATGCAGACTACTGCAATATTGTAATAATTGTATAAATAACATCAACCCATTCATGACTACATATTAGAATGGCTAGTTGGACATTTATTGGACAATGATGTCATTTGTTTACTTTTGAACATCAGCAAAACTCAAACATTTCCCCTACTTTGAGCTCCATTTGATTATTATTATTATAATCAAGGGGGAAGCGCTAAACCCGGAGGATTATACAGCTAGCTCCATTTGAAGGTTCTTTTTATAGTAAAATCAATCAAAATCATCTCTTTTTCTATAATATGTTTTCCATTCTATCAAATGAAACCAAGAAAACGAGAATACAACCATAAATACTATACGAAAATAGACCACAAAGTCGGCATTTTAATTAAAAAAAATGGTCGGAGTTTGTTTTTTTCATTATGCACTGCATGATGCAGGATTTTTTTTATAAGGTGCACACTGACCACACAGACCCATTCTCTCACATGTGGGCCTACCAGCTTTCTCCTGCTTGATTTGAAGCCGCTAGAATTTATGAGTATATATTAACCCTTTGACTGTCGCAGCCGTATATATACGTCTTACGAGGTACCGTGTTTGACGTATTTACCTGGAGTAAACTCTCTCCAGGTAAACTCCAGGTAAATACGTCAAACACGGTACCTCGTAAGACGTATATATACGGCTGCGACAGTCAAAGGGTTAATGCCCGTCATCTGCAGTCTCTGAAGTGACGTGGAAAGTGAAGCTTGGAAAATACTTATTCAATTATAGTGCATTTTCAAGGAATTCATTACTGCAGATTCTGAATGCACTCGGGAAAAAGCCTATAATTACACCACGTTTAGTTTTGGTGTCGTGGTGAGAGTAAGTGGAGAAGATCGTGTTGGTTCGTAAGTTTTCGATACTTTAAAACAGTTTTTGGTCAGATTTTTCCAATAATGGAGTCAAATCTGAATGGGGATTAGTCACTAGTGGCGTTCCACAAGGATCAGTTTTAGGCCCTCTCTTGTTCATAATTTACATTAATGACCTTGATGAAGGGATTACTAGTGACATGAGTAAGTTTGCTGATGATACAAAGATAGGCCGTATAATTCACTCTGAGGAGGATATCAATGAACTCCAGGACGATTTGGACAAATTAATGTCTTGGTCTGAAAAAATGGCAGATGAAGTTTAATGTGGATAAGTGTAAGGTACTAGTCCTTGGTAACGAAAATAACTAAGTTATAATCTGGGTGAAGTAGAGCTTGATCATACAGAATGTGAAAAATTTGGGAGTCATGGTAAGCAGAAATCTAAAGCCAAGACAGCAGTGCCTTAGTGTGCGCAACAACGCCAACAGATTACTTGGGCTTATCTCAAGAAGTATAAGTAACAGAAGTGATACTTAATGGAGCACATCAATATGTCAATATCGACGTTACTTTTTACAGAATGAAATTATTAATGCCAAACAGACAAAATATCGATGAGCAATCATGCAATATAATCTTTTATATTATTATAATCAAGGGGGAAGCGCTAAACCCGGAGGATTATACAGCGCCTGGGGGGGGGGATGTGGAAGGCATTCAGGCTTAATTCAGGGAACTGGAGCACAGATCCAATTCCCTAAATCAAGAGCCCCTCACCAACATCAAGGAACCTTCCTTGAGGGGATAATCTTTTATAGTACCCAAAAAAAAATAGTGAAGATGCCTTGACATGTTTTGGGACAATTTTTGCATTTTACACCCATGGTATACAAATTATTATTATAATCAAGGGGGAAGCGCTAAACCCGGAGGATTATACAGCGCCTGGGGGGGGGGGATGTGGAAGGCATTCAGGCTTAATTCAGGGAACTGGAGCACAGATCCAATTCCCTAAATCAAGAGCCCCTCACCAACATCAAGGAACCTTCCCTGAGGGGCATGGTATACAAAAATGGTAAGGATTTTTATCAAAAGGTAAACATAATGTTATAGAACAATGTTCCATGAATAAATCCTGTAAAATTTATAAAGATCGGTTCAATATAAAAAGGCCCTAAAATCTGGAATTCATTACCTGTAAATATAAAAGAAACACTACCTGTTTATAAATTCAAGTCTCTTCTCAAAGATCACTTACTCACTCAAAACCAAATAAATACTGAATAACTGAACCTTATAAATTGTATATCTTAAATGTTTCTCACAATTATATCACATAAATGTTAAACCTAAAACCCAATCTAACTTTATTATTTTTTAAATACACTACCTAACAGAATACTCCATTCTAACTGAATTTACAACAATGCATGCAACCATATGACCTGTCTTTGTAATACTCACTTGTGCTTTATAGTAATCAGTTTACATTAATGTTTTTCACTGATTTAATCATTGCTTAGTTAATCTTAAGTTAATTTTAAGCCAGCCCGTAATGCTATGCATAGTATAAGTGGCTTTGGCATGCTGCTCTTATCTGTATTTTTTTTTTGTACCTCTGTAAGTGTGCTCAAATTATAAATAAATAAATAAATAAATAAAAATAAATAATAAGGGAGGAGCTCCCCTAAAATTGCAGAAAATGGACTTTCCAGAAAAATGTAATAAATACATTGAGGCTTAGCTTATGGTGGGTAAAAATATTCCATGTGCCTTCTTATGTTTATTAGGAGTAGAAGTGAGCATATATAACATATTTCTGAAGTTCCATGCAGATCCCTCCATCCTGAAGTCCTTTCAGATTGGCCAATCATGACGGTCCATACACATCAAACTGGAAAGAAGGAAATACACACTAAACATCGTATTGCCAATGATTATGTACATAGATGTGTAAATATACATATATATACAATAATGATAAACATACACATACAATTAAACAACAAATTCACATTAATTATTTACCTTTGACGAAGAGTAGGCATGGACATGGATCATCTAATGGCCTCCAGCTTCATAGGAGGTGTCCACCACCGTCTTCCTCTTCTTGCTTCTTGGAGTTTGGAGTCTCTGCATATATCTGTCCATATCCTTCAGACGTTTTTGGTTCAATGAGGAACGCCCATATCCAAGTTGTATGTCCAGACAACTTCTTTCGTATCCTACATTGTACTCTGCTATCGCGTGGCTGACGGAGAAATCAACTTGCCACTTATTTCTATACAGGGCTTTGTTGCAGTACGCCCATATTCTTTGGTGAAGGCTTTCATTTGGGTTTTGTGTTCGTCCCTGTATGCATCGTTCCATCATGTCATCTCGGGTGAGGTCCTTGTAGATTTCATGCACCTGTTGAAGTCGTCGGGTTGTAGCTGAAACTTCACTTTCATGGTTGAGTGGGATGGTGGTGGTAGTTTTGTCCTGCCAATGCTTCTGGTAAAAACACATGAAAGCAGACCAGGTGGACAAAGTGATGCTCTGGGTTGTCGTCAGTGGAGAACAGTGAAAGAAGCTTGCAAGTATTCCATTACTCATAGTATCTCAACATCAGATTCCACGACTGTCCCTTAGGTTCTTCGAAAATACTGAGCAAGCTTGTTCAATCATGAAATCTGTCAACATTGCTTTCCTCTCACGTGATACTCCTTTTCTATTTTTTTCCGGTTCTAAGTTGGTTTTTTTTCCGTGTAGTGCAATTTTACCAAGCTTGTCAACCTATTTTTCCAGGGTCCCGCTTTTGCAAATGGTTGATGCACTCTTCTTTTGTAACTTGTAAACTTGGTATGGACCAACCATCTTGAGTTCAGTAATTCCTTTGAGGTTGCACTATCACCATCAGAACACTATGGTCTTTGTACCCTCAACTTCTGCTATCAAGTGATCTTTGCCAAATGATGAGCGCGCTTCTACCTCCATTTTTCCCTGAGGAGCCGGAATAGTTTTTTGTTGCATTTCTTTCATGGTTTCCTTTAAATTTTTCATACGTTTCCACAGTAATTTTCCTTCTAATTCAAACGACTTTTCATAATGACACACAAGAACAGTAATTTACACAACACCTTGATAGTCAACAACAAGCTTTGTCAAGGCATCATAGCCGACACCAATGTCCAAAATTAGAATGAAGCCCCTAGTATGCCAGGCCATCATACGTCACATCATATCAACAACTCCACGTGCGCTGACAAAGTGTCCTTGTTTTGGCATATTCCCTTACCGAACGATTGCCCTTGTTTCAGCTAAATTCTGTTGAAGACGAATGGATACCCTGGTAAATCATGCTTGTGTACCCCTGCTAAATGTTTCGTGATTATACCAGGTAGGTTACACAAGGCATTTCCTACGAAGAAATGAATTGTTAAAAGCCTCCACCAGCCACCATTTCAGCATACACATTCAACCGGAAGTCAAAACTTCAGCTGCCTACTAATACCACGTGGCTTTTTTTCCACTAAACTGCCTTAACAACTCGTACACGACATAGCAACAACAGTTTCTAAGTGGATGCTTATAATATGTAACTTCCACTTCCTTATAAACACTCGGAACAGTGACACAATGACAGAATTTCATCAAACCTATCATCTTCCATACTTATCATATTCTTCTCGACAACAACAGGAGTTTTTATCTTATTATACATGACACTCTCGTTTTGGCACTTGATACACAAACACTGTCACTGGCAACTCGAGTCAGCCAGCTGCGATGTGCTGGCGACAGCTGAACTAGCAAAAACTGGGTAGCCAAATGTGGGTGGCCACATGTGGGTGGCCACATCTGCAGTCGATCACAGGGGTTACACTCATTCGTGGTGAGGTCTCAACATATGTAACTGTGGGGGTGGTGAAGACAGAAAGTAATATATAGTCGTAGGGTGATCATGTGGCCACAGTGGTTGATGGTGGTGGCCACAGATACGTCACTTCGTTCCCGCTTCCTCGATGTTGTAGGTGTTGCGGCTTGAAGTGGCCACATCTGGTGTGGCCCCGGACGTGGTAGGCCACATCTGAGTGGCCCCAGGAATGGTGGCCAGAGGGAAAAACAAACATCTGGAGTGGCCCTGGACTTCCTGGCCACACTCTTACTCTCCCTTTTTCCTTGCTTTGCTCAGCACACGCCTTCAACAGGAGAAGTGTTCAGAAGTTCACCAGCTGAAACTAATTCTTCCTTTTCGAGAGTCAGAGGGTAGTAATGGCGTCGTGGCGTCACCTGCTGAGTCAGAGGGTAGTAATGGCGTCGTGGCGTCACCTGCTGAGTCAGAAGGTAGTAATGGCGTCGTGGCGTCACCTGCTGAGTCAGAGGGTAGTAATGGCGTCGTGGCGTCACCTGCTGAGTCAGAGTGAAGACAGTTAACTGGATGTACGCGTCAAACTTGTAGTTTGACTCTCACATCAACATACGGTATATAAGGAGAAGGATTTGAGGGGAAGTCACATCAATTAATAAGTCCTACTACAGGTGGCATGACTTCCTGTTACGTACTATGTCAAAGATTCTGAAGATAGTTTTCAGACTGCAAGCCGGCAGCGGCAAGCAGCGACCTCCAAGCTCCGTACTTTTCTCCAACTATCAGAGCTACCAATGCTCCTATGATTGACCTAGTTACTTGCAAAACTGCACTACACAAGCGTAGCACCACAAATGAACCAAAGAATTACCAACAGTGAAACCTACAAATCGAACATAATAGAGATCAAAGGAAGACTGCCCACAAACCGAAAGCAACACCCCGCTGCCAGCCGAACAAGTAACCCTAAACTTTGGTATAACTACAACTTCTCTTAACTACAATCAATTTCCTGTAGTATTATGAGGCGCAATCTAAAGAACAGCACCAAGGCCAGCAAGAAAACGCCGAAAAATCAACTATTCAACAAGTGTAGTCAGGAGGATGCCGGCCCAGCAACCACCCCACTCACCACCGCACAAGGCGACCCCACACAATACAACAAGACATGGCTGCCACAGCCCATCCTCCCAGATTCCAACGATCCAATACCCTAAAGACATGCATCTCAACTTAGTTATTGAAAATATGAATCTTCGAGAGACCTAACAAAACAAGACACCAGATGACAACTCGAGAACAAATCCTCAGTCTTGACAAAAAGTTAAAACACCAGGAATGACTAACTGTGACAAGACCATCCAAACAGTCATAGACTAGCCATACAAGACAAATAATATTCCTCTTAATACAAGGTTGAAGAGCATAAAAGAATGGAAGAACAACTTAGATAACCAGTTCAGTGACTACTTTGCTCTCCAAGAAGATAAAACTGAACAAGATAAACTAACGGACGCAGACATAGTTAACATCCATTCACTGTTTTCCCAGTGATATAACCAAACAAACATTAAAGAAATTACTCTGCAGATCATAAAGGACCAAACAAGTGTTATTGTTCCGAGAGTCTGAAATAAAAGAAGCAGGTTACTAGGATCCCATGGTAGAAAGAAATGAAGCCAGGTTACAGGATCCCATGTAAAATAAAAGAACCAGTTACTAGGCTCCCATGGTAGATTCAAGTGTTATGCTAAGATTCCCACTCACATGCAGAAAAAAGACTTATTAATTGCATCTATTAAGTAAAGAAAGAGGTATACATAAACGAGTGTCCTTACCAAAAAACGTCAGAACCTCCTGTATAGTCAGAAAACCTTAAGCGGGAGAATAACGACACCATACACCATGCTTCACACGGGATGGAAAATTCCTTGTTAGGAAAACAAATGTAGGTCAACCTGTACACAAATCACGAACGAGAATGATCTATCACGATTTCTTGCAGGGATACTAATCTTACAGAGAATAACTAAACAATGTCCAACTTAAAACCTACGTTAGCGTAGTGTATGTTTTGCTCCATTATTGTTCAAGACTTCATTTGTACAATCTTAATAATTAAATAATCAACTTCCTTATTTTGCTGATTTACTAGTAAGCATAAAGTCACCTTATGCAATTTTCTTATTTCCTATTGTTGCTTAAACATTAGCTGAATTGATACTTTCTCTGTCCATATTACTACCTCATATTTTTTTAAATATCTATCAACTGATATTACTTATTAAATTAATATTATCATTCTTACAGAATTTCAATTTACTCTAACATTTTTGAACATTTAATAACCATTACTTGTCCTAATTACCTTACCTGATTTATACCACATTTACTATCTTACTCTAATTACCTTGACTGGCCATATAACCTCTAGTATAACTACCAGTGCAATATTGAATGAAATAAACATTACTTTTTCACTTTTTTGTAAACATTATTTACTTACTAAAATTTTATAAAAACACCAATTTTACTACCATCAATTTTACTTTTTGTAACATTAAACCATATTTTTATACTTCCCATAACATTTTGTTTGCCAAATTTTCAAGTTTGTATATTCAAAAAACTCCAACCTTTATTATCGATCCTTTGTACATGTCTACAATCTACTATCATATTATAACCAAGACATTACCATTATTCATTGTTCCTTACCTGTCATTTAATTTTGTTTACACTACTTTTTTTTTTAGTCACTTTTTATTGTGTGTGCAATTAGTGGTAATATTCCAATTACTTTTTTGCAAGTACCAAAACTATCTTTGGCTAGCTAGTACCAACTACCTCATTTTTTATTTTACTTTTTTTTGTGCAATAAACTGTCTCAACTATTTAATTATTACAAATCAGATCATTACTCCTAAACCAATATTATCTTATAGTGACCACCTGTCCCATTTAACTTGGTTTACCATTACTTAATTGTAGTCCCTTATATATTTTTTTGTCCTTTATTTTACTTATATATAACTACCTTAGATCATATAATCGCAATGTTTAAACTAATCAAGGTGGCTATTCTCAGGTGCTATAGTTAATAAGTTCACTATTTTGCCATTAATACTCCAAAGCTCATTTATTGATTACCACTTTATTGTTCACCACAACCTATATTATCCCCCCCTTTTATATTATAATTTTATATTATAATTCTAACTTTAAAGAATTACTTTAAAAAAGTACTACCTACTATCATATTCCCAAGCTCCATTATTTGATCATCACTTTATTTGTTCACCACAAATTATTTTAGTCCCTTTTATATTGTCTCCTTTATTTTAGTTTTTAAAAAACTACCTTAGCTCATTATTTTTTACATTTGTTAAATAATTCAGGTGCTATTTTTTTTTTTTAGCTTTAGAATATTTACTTTATTTTTTACTTAATTCAAAACTATAGATTCACTACAAAATTTTATGATTACAAGCATTGATCCTGATACCAACCTCTTATTTAATGACTTAAATGATTAAAACAGTTACTGTAATTACTACACAGCAGAACAATCAAAGGCCACTTCTCAGAGCCAACAACAACATAACTATCTTTAACTACAAT